CCTATCCCATCCCCAATCTTTTTTTTTTGAGACAGAGTCTATGTTGCCCTCGGTAGAGTGCTGTGCCATCACAGCTCACAGCAACCTCAAACTCTTTGGCTTAAGCGACTCTCTTGCCTCAGCCTCCCAAGTAGCTGGGACTACAGGTGCCCGCCACAGCACCCAGCTATTTTTTGTTGCAGTTTGGCCAGGGCCCAGTTTGAACCCGCCACCCTTGGTATATGGGGCCAGCACCCTACTCACTGAGCCACAGGTGCTGCCCCTGGCCTTTCTATTTTATTTTATTTAGTTTGCTCTATTGCCCAGGCTAGAGTACAGTGGCATGATCGTAACTCACAGCAATCTCAAACTTTTTGGCTCAAGTGATACTCTTACCTCAGCCTTCCAAGCAGCTGGGAAGGTGCCTGCTTGGCTATTTGTAGAGATGGGGGTCTTGCTCTTGATCAGGCTGGTCTCAAACTCCTCGAGTTCAAGGGATCCACCTGGCTTGGCTTCCCACTAAAACCCAGGAGTTTGAGGTTGCTGTGAGCTATGATGCCAAAGCATTCTACCAAGGGTGACAAACTGAGACTGTCTCAAAAAAAAAAAAAAAAATCCCAGTCTTTTAAATCACTTATGGGTGAGACTTGGTATGGCCCATCATGGAACAAAATTCCTTTCCATCTGTAGATCTGTGCAATCTAGAAAGCAGATTATCTGCTTCTAAAATAAAATGGTGGGACAGGCATAGGTTAAACATTCCCATTTCAAAAGGGACAAATAGGAAAGAAAAAGGTCACAGGTCTCAAGCAAGTCTAAAACCCAGCAGGACAAATCCTATTAGATTTCAAGGGTTGAAAATAATCCTCTTTGGCTCTGCTTTGGCCTCTCAGCCTACTCGGATGGTGACCTTAACCTCTAGACCCAAAGAGGTCTTGTCAGGCGAGTCTCTGAGTTTGTGACTCAGGCCTCTGAGTCATTTTTCTTTCATTTTGTCCTCAGTCTCTTTCATTCTAGGTGGACAGTGTTTTTTGTTTTGGAGACACAGTCTTACTATGTTGCCCTTGGTAGAGTGCTGTGGCATCACAGCTCATGGCAACCTCAAACACTTGGACTTAAGCCATTCTCTTGCCTCAGCCTCCCAAGTAGCTGGAACTACAGGTGCCTGCCATAACTCCTGGCTATTTTTTTGTTGCAGTTGTCATTGTTTCAACTGGCCCACACCGGGTTTGAACCCACCAGCCTGGGTATATGTGGCTGGTGCCCTACCTATTGAGCTATGGGTGTCACCATTTTTTTTTTTTTTGAGACAGTTTCACTCTGTCACCCAGGCTAGTGTGCTATGGCATCATAGCTCACAGCAACCTCAAACTCTTGAGCGCAACTCAGCCTCCCAAGTAGCTGGGACTATAGGCGCCTGCCACTGTACCCAGCTACTTACTCTATTTTTAGGGGAGACGGGTTTCACTCTTGCATTGGCTAGTCTTGAACTCCTGAGCTCAAGCAATCACCTACCTCAGCCTCCCAAATTGCTAGGATTACAGGAGTGAGCCACTGTGCCTGGCCTCAGGTGGATAGTGTTTATGCTAGTATACAATTTTTTTTAATTTTTTTTGAGACAGAGTTTTATTACATCACCCTTGGTAGAGTGCTATGGCATCACAGCTCACAACAACCCCAAACTCTTGGGCTTAAACAATTCTCCTGGCTCAGCCTCTCGAGTAGCTGGGACTATAGATACCTACCATAACACCCGGCTATTTTTTGGTTGCAGTTGTCATTGTTTAGCAGGCCTGGGCCGGGCTCAAACCCGCCAGCCTCGGTGTGTGTGGTTGGCGCCCTACTCACTGAGCTACTGGTGCTGAGCCTGGTATACAATTCTCAAAAAACGTATTGGTCTTCTGTGCACATCAAAGGGATCTATACCATTACACAAAGATGATTTCTTGACTTTTTTTTTGTTTGTTTTGTTTAGAGACAGAGTCTCACTTAATAGCCCTTGGTAGAGTGCTGTGGCATCACAGCTCACAGCAACCTGCAGCTGCTGGGCTTAGACAATTCTCTTGTCTCAGCCTCCCCAGTAGCTAGGACTACAGGTACCCACCACAAGGCCCGACTGTTTTTTGTTGCAGTTTGGCTGGGGTTGGGTTCGAACCTGCCACCCTTGGTATATGGTATATGGAGCTGGCGCCCTACTCACTGAGCCACAGGCACTGCCCTGAATTCTTGACCTTTGTTGACATGGTTGATTAGATCCATAAGTCAGCTATGTAATAAAAGCTACATTCTGAGCCCTCTTCCAGAGCATATTCTCTGGCTAGGCTGATTACCAGATGTCCTTTTAATTCAATTCTGACACTGTCTACCTAGAGATAGTGTGAGACCACATAGGTTGAGGACTTGGTTCCATAAGACTATCCCGCTACCACTTCTGATGCCAGCCAGAAGCCCCAGGTGGTTTTTACCTGTGCATCTGATCAGCTTTATTTTTTATTTATTTTTATTTATTTATTTTTATTTTTGAGACGGAGCCTCAAGCTATCCCCCTGGGTAGAGTGCCATGGCATCATGCTCACAGCAACCTCCAACTCCTGGGCTCAAGCGAGTCTCCTGTCTCAGCCTCCGAAGTAACTGGGACTACAGGCGCCCACCACAACGCCTGGCCATTTTTTTGATTGCAGCCATCATTGTTGTTTG